TCTGAGTCCCAGTCCCGACTCCCAAGTCCCCATGTAGCTTGGTGGTAGGAGTGCAGCCAAAGGATTGCATTGCTAAAGCAGGGAACAGCAGTTCCTCCAGGTGCTTAACGGAGGACATCAAGAGACTCCATGAAGCCCTGTCATTGATTCATCCTGGCTGGTGGAGAGGCTTGATTTATAACTTAATAAAAATGCAATTATGATATATTGGCCTCCTTGCAGTATCAATGTTATATATCAACATAGCTATAGACTTGGCTATTTACTAGTATCGTTGCATTAAAATGGGGTTTGCTCTGGGAGATCTCTCCAAAGGACTCTGTTTGGTGCCAGATTCCCTGCCACAACACGTGCTTACACCTTTCCCTTTATGTGGCTCCTAAAACAGGCTGCCGTATCTAATCTCAGTCTCACTGATGCTGTGTCACCGCCCTGCCCTACTTCCTCCTCTGCTCATATGATGACTTTAGCCATATTCACCGCAGTACCTTGGGAGCTCCTATTAAGTGGCTTGCCCAGCATGACCCCTAAATCCTCTCTTTTGGCATGGAGAGGGGGGGTGCATAGTGCTAGTGAGGCACATCTTGCCACTGTTCCTACTGCTTGTGTTCATGGTCCTGGCACTCAGGCCCCCAGAGGTGAGCTCCGCTGGAGGGGAGAAGAGGCTGGCCTGCTTCATTACAGTGAAACCTACTGTTGGCGATCTCTTGCTTCAGCCCTGATTCTGCTGAAGCAGGCTATTTCCAGTGAGTGGGTACTCACTTGCTCACATGAGTGCTGGGGTTCTTGGGGTTTCCAAGAGCGCTGCAGTCCAAGCTGCTTTTTGGATGGAGAATTGAGTTTTTGACTCCGGGTATGTCTACACTGCAGAGAAAAGTCAAAAGAAGATTCACAAATTGTGAACCTCAACTTGCTTATCCTTTTTTGCCTTTTTTCCCCCAAAAGAAACTTTTCTGAAATTTGGCCCCTCTACATGGGTCCAAATTTCAGAAACAACTCCCTTTTCAGAACATCCCTTATTCCTCTCACTGAGGAATACAGGAATGCTGAAAGAACATCTGCTTTTTTGGAAACTGTTCCGAAAAAGCGGACGTGTTCCTTGGACGCAGCAGGGCTTTTCCCTGGAAAAGCTCTGCAGTCTAGACATAGCCTCACTGACATTTTTCACAAAAATAGCTGCTTCCTTCAGAAAAATTAAATTGCCTCGTATTCTTCATTTTCCTTTATGGATGGGTGCTCCTGTGTGATCTAGTTCTCCCATAATGAATTATACTGGGCCTCCCCTGATGACCTGCATCCCCACAACAACAGCGGAAACTGTGGTTCATCACAGGAGACTTAGACCATGTAGCGGGCCCTGCCTCTAGGAGACCAGACCCCAGCCTTTCCAAAGCTAACTTCTGATTTTCAGCCTCAATAGTTTTGAATTTTTGCTGAAAATTCACATTGTTTATGGGAGGGCGACATGTTCTGGTCAGAAATGACTTCAGGAGCTGGGGGTCTGTAACGGCTTTTGTAAGGTCACACTCCTGCCTGGTGTCAGAATCCTTCATCTTGGCACCTGCACCAGCAGCTTGAGTAAACTGGGTAATGGCAGCCCATAAGCCTAACCCTGTCCCAAAGGCACCACCTCCACCCTCAGCATCAGCAGTTCAAGGAGTTAAGTGACTTGGGGGTTACGTCCACACTGCAGGCTTCATGCACGAGAATGGCCATTCTTACGCAAAAACTTGCAGAGCGTCTACACTGCATGTATGTTCTTGCTCAAGTAAATTTACAGTAAACTGTCGGAACAGAGGCCTTCTTGTGCAAGACAATGAAACCTGATTAATAAACTAGACACAGCAATCAAATGCTGATATTCAAAGAAACTGAGCAGTGCTGGTGTTTTTGTAGGTGAATGTATTTTGAGTACTGACTAAAAGGTAACTAGATACCGATGTATCTAGTTGTCCTCTGTCCCTCATGCTACTCATGTTCCATAGCACCAATCGTCCATATTTCTAACCATTTCTCTATGGGTGGATGGATTAGTTTTCTTTTTTCCAATGAGAGGTTACCAACCACCAACAGGCTACCACCCGCTGAGAAATAGGCCAATGTGAGTGACCATGTTCTCTAGGAAAAACTAGGAGTATCACCAAAGGGTCATCTGGTAACAAATTTCCAGCAATTTATAGTGTTTGGGTACAAATCGCCATCGCGCTCTAATGACCGAACATGTCCACAAAAATCTTTTTACCAACATTTTCCCCATTCAGTTTGTGTGTTTAACCCAGGGGTCTCAAACTCCCAACCCACAGGCCATCCCTGCCCAGAGCAATTGCACAGACTAGCCCAGGAGTCCCGAAGGGCCAGGTAACGTCCATTACCATTCCCCAAACCCCACCTCTCCCTGCCGACATGCTGCTCCTCTGGTACCCGATCCCCTGAGGGCTCAGCCTCTGGGCTCACCAGGGGCAGGCACAGCGCAGCAGCAGCCAGGCCTCCTGCACTTCCTGCAGGGAAACAGGGTGCACTCAGCAGGCACCCACTCTCCACTTCGCTTCCCCAGAGCACCTGCCACCACAGGGAGTGTTAGGGGGTCTGACCACTGCTGCACACTGCACCAGGCCCCCTCAGTGATCCCCAAAGCTGCATCCTCAGGGGCTGGGTGCCATGGGGGTGAGAGGACAAGGTGTTGGAAGAGAGCGGTTTGGGGAACAGCAACAGTCACGCCCACCGCACCAGGACTCCCAGGCCAGATTGCGCGATTGCTCCAGGCAGAGACTCTGAGACCCCTGGTTTAACCTGACAGCTGAGAGATACGTGTGAAACAGTGTTTTAAAGAAATGTCATTTCATTTTGATACAAGGTGAGGTTGCTGGTCCTTTTTTCCAGCTCAAACTCGCATTCCCCGGGGTAATTTGTCTATCCAGGTCGCTTCCCAACAGAGCATGTATGGGCATTGCTTGGCCAGGACAGTGTCTGCAAACATGGACAGCAATTAGTTCTGCGGTTTTTGTTTCCTAATTGACCAGATTCCATCACTTCTATTCAACTGAGCTTTCTGTAGGAAACAGTTTTTCTAGAGAGTTGAAAAACAGTGTCTGACTTGAAAGCACTGGCCCCAGTGAACTAGCCAGTTAAAGTTAGCTTTGATCTCTAATCAAGTTAGAAAAAATTCTTCCCAGAATAGCTAGCCAAGGGTATGTATTCAATAATCTCTCCTTTTCCAAACAACATCCTGGCATCAGTGTTACCCTGCATTCATGCAGATTCGCAGCTCAACAGCAGAAAATAGGCCCTTCGTATTCAAACCACCTGCATAACACATTCTACCTTTAGGAGTTTGGGGCTCAATTTGACCTTTTTCTAAATTCAATCAATAAGCAGGACTCACAGCAGAAGGATGTACAAGGACTGGATCACCAGCTTATGAAAGCCAGTAAGAGGTTTTAAGAACTATTGTGTACAAAAGGAGAAAGCACGAAGATGTCAGGTTTACAGGATGTCTTTATTCTTAATTACAGAAGTTTGCATGCACCATTAAGACCACGTTTTACTGAAAACAGCTGCATGTCTCCCCTCCACATCCACAGCAAGGGAGACGGGAAGCTCAGGGATTCTGCCTGTGGAGATAAAATGGCTCCTCTCTGTACAGGTATTTTTACTGAACTTTCCATAAGAAGATCTGAATGACTTGAAGGAGCATCCTAGCCCAGAAGTTTATTATGCCAATCATTCCTCACAAGGAAAAGGAACATTTAAAAAACTCACTTCAGCCAGACCTGGAATAGGGCTTGGCTCTAGTTAGACATCAGGCTGCATTACCAGAAGAAGCGTCTTGCAGCTAATAATGCCAGGGGAGAGATGCTACAGCTAAGGGGAGCTGGATGCTCTCCCACTGATGTACAAGTTAAAATATCCATATAAGGCAGTTCCTTCAGTAGCCACTACACAAACTTTCATCACACTGAGTGAAAACCTGCTGCTGCTTTGTGTCTTTCTATGCCTTGTGAAAATGAAGCACTTTCAGATCCTGTACTAATTCCAACAGAAAAGCTATGCATCATGGCTTTGTACCTCCTTCAACTTACCCCCCCCCCCCCGAGAAAGTAATGAAATGTAAGAATTACAGTTAAATTTAGTCAGTTACTTTCCTAAGATGTCTACCAAGAAGTACCCCAAACCACCATGACCATGTGCACAACAAGACAGCGCCTGACAGCTCTGCCACATATGCTGTGCCTTTAAGATTGCCCTTTTCTCTGCTACAATGACAAGGCAACTTAGGAACAGATCCTCAGCTGGTGTAAATCAACATCACTCCACTGACTTCAAGTTGAGCTATGCCAATTTACTGATGAGGATCTGTCTCAACACTTATTTCCAGTCGCAGGTGGACTCAAACCCCCAGCTTTCCTTCTCTAAATTAGAGGCGAACCATTTCAAAAGGGCAGTTTAACTTTTCACTTACAGGTCAGTAGTATTTAGGGTGGGATGTTTAAATAAACCCAAGGGATTGAGATTTGGAGGCCATATTCACTTGCAATTCCTAATTCCCTCAGGCTGCTTTAAAAAGCTAAGCCTTAAGGCTGTGTTTAGACTGGCAAGTTTTTCCGCAAAAGCAAGTGCTTTTGCGGAAAAACTTGCCAACTGTCTACACTGGACGCTTGAATTTCCACAAAAACACTGACTTCCTATTGTCTGAAATCAGTGCTTCTTGTGGAAATACTATGCTGCTGCCATTTGGGCAAAAGTCAATGTGCAAAAGCTTTTGCGCAACAGGGCCAGTGTAGACAGCTCAGATTTGTTTTGCGCAAAAAAGCCCCAATCGCGAAAATGGCAAAGTGCTTTTGCGGAAAAGCATCCATGCCACTCTAGACACTCTTTTCTGCAAATGTTTTTAATGGAAAACGTTTCCGTTAAAAGCATTTGCGGAAAATCATGCCAGTCTAGATGTAGGCTAACTGTCTTTCACCAAGTAAGGGCAGAGTGCTCAAGAATAGAGCCTTTCACCATGTAAGGGCAGAGTGCTCAAGAATAGAGCCCTACAAATCTACAAATATCCACTTTATATCTGAGTATCCACATCCACTGATGTAGAGGCGGATATCTGTGGCTCATTTTTATTTTGTATCTAGACCCTGCAAATCTGTGACTATCCACTTTATACCCACATCCACAGATGTTATTGTTGATATCCGTGGCTCATTTCTGCAGATACTAATTTTGTATTCACACAGGGCTCCACTCAAGAACATTGCAGTAAATGCAACACCAGCCAACCACAGAATTTCAGTTGGGTCCACCTGTCCTGGTTTTTTTTTTTAATTATACATTGGTCTATTAATTCACAAAGGAACAAACCCCACACAACCCTACCCAACACCTCACCCTCCTTCCCCCCGCCCCGCACCAAACGCACACAAAATGGTACTGTTTAAAGGCTTTTGTGGAGTCAGCAGTACAGAGGAGCTCCCTAAATGGCAGCAGCACTACACACAAAGCAGAAGGCACAGGACCATCAGAAGGGAGAGGAGAGACTGTTCTTGACCCAGCCTCAACATCTCACCCATCCCTACCCAAACAAATTCCAGGAGGCTTAATCAAAACCATGGCAAACATTTTCAGCTGGAAAGGTTTCTTCTAAGACCATAAATGGTGTTTGCAGTGCTCAACAGCCTAGGAGAGAGAGAGAGAGAGAGATGTGAAATAGGCCTGTGTTGTCACGTTATACTATAGCCAGCGTCAATGTGCATGAACAGCTTGGAGCACCATTCAGGATTTCAGGGCAAACAGATACTCAGTGCTCCTCTTCTTTAGTGGTCCTAATTAGCACTGTATGAGAAGCTTCACCAGCAAAGACGGGGACAAAGGAAGTAAATTATACATCAAACCAGGACTGTTGTAATTCTGCCGTGTCATTGCCACAGGCTAAGGAGAACTGACTCTCCCCATAGGAAGCAACTCACATCTCGTCAGCCTGCCTGGATTATTGCACTGCCTTGTCACCATGGTACCTGAGTCTCTCTCATCTGTTAACAACTAGCTCCTATGTGGATGGTCTCTATGGACTCCGAAAGGTACAGCTAGTCCTCCATGGCTGGAAGGACAGAACCATACAAGTTAAGGCTCCATTTATACCTTAAAGAGGGAGTCTGAACTATTGACAAAGGGGTCCAGGAGTGGGAAATGAAGGCCACTCCCATACTTTCAGTTAAACATTAACAGAAGTGAAGCTGGATACTGTGTATTCCCAACCTAAACTTCTGCTTTATACAGCTCACCCCTCTGTACTATAGGACAACAGCCACTAAAGTGCTTACGCTGCTTGGTTACCCCTTTTTGCTGTCATTAATGAGTCAGTGGAGTGTCTACAGGAAGCGCTGCTAAAATTTATCAGCATCAGTATGAAACAGCCATCCAGTACATGGCTGGAGCATGGGAAAAGAGCAGGGAGACTCGATTATACAAGACTAAGAGACTATCTACCTTGCCAGGAAAGAAAAGTGGTTCATGGATGTGCAGCATTAGCTTGCCTTGCGCTCTCATCCAGTACCCCCAGCCCCAGTTGGGGGCAGGGCAAAAACATGGTCTCCACAAAAGCTCCACTCTTGTTTTTTCCTGGGCAGAGCCAGACCATTGTCACAGGCTTTTTACTATGAATTGTCTTTTGGGACTGGTGAGAGTTCAAGTATTAGAGGAAATGACCACGCCAGATGTGGGCAAAACTAACTTCTTGGATGTGACCAACCTCCTTTCCAGATGATCTCATTCCTTTAGGCTGTAATTTTAGTCCTATCATCAAATTTCCCATTTAACTCCTCCCTATTAACATTGGTGGATTTCTCCAAAATAATCTCAGATTCCTGACACCTAAGGGATTAAAAGCATTCAGTAGTAGGCCAATTACAGCTTCTGAGTCTCTCAGCTCAGAATCAGCTGTTCAAAACTGCATCAATGAATCATCAGGTTTTAGAGGCGGAAGAGCCTCTATTCTCATAGGTAAACCTCCCTTTCCCAACAACTGGGGGCCGGGTCTTTGTGCTTCTCTCTCACAGACATGGCCTGATTCTCCTCTCATTTATACCCACATCACAGTGATCCACTTCATTCAATAGAGTTACTCCTTCACACCAGTGGAAGTGGAAAAAAGAACTGGGTTTAATATTTTTAAAGTAAATTTTTAAAGTTTGTTGCCCATTAGTTTAACGGTACCTCAGAGCTCCCCTCTGAGGGAGCCTCTGGTGACTTACATTGCATTGAGCTGCAGTCTCCATGTTCTTACACCAGTAGCTTGGACCCCACACACATGGATCCTCACCCAAGAGATCTTCGGACGACTGACAAGCTCCTATTTTCTGTGCAGCAAAAGAAGCAAGAGAATGAAAGGTGCAGCTACCCCTCCCTGTTTAACCACTGGCATTCAGCGGTCTCACTTCCTCCCCTGTGATCCAGGGCCTCAGAGCCTGCACTGCAATGACCATTTCCAATGGGGTGTCGGAGTGTGTAGACAAAGCAAAGGCTGTGCTGGGAGCGCTAGAGACAGTTTGGTCGGTAGCTGAACAAACATTCTTGTGAGAAGCCCATTGAGAGGATTCTGAATTTTAGACTCTAGATAATTTCAGTCTCTGTGTGAGCTGCAGATTTGTTAATCCCATTGGTTGATCCCATTCGAAGCAGGGCCATGCACCTCACACTGGGTACGTCTAAACTACATGCCTCTGTCGGCAGAGGCATGTAGATTTGTTTTTTTGGCAAAGGCAAATGAAGCCGCGATTTAAATGATCGCGGCTTCATTTACATTTACATGGCTGCCGCGCTGAGCCGACAAACAGCTGATCAGCTGTTTGTC